CCCCAAAACCCCAAAACCCCAAAACCCCAAAACCCCAAAACCCCTTACTTTTATATTTTTGTTGATAATTTTCATTAAATGGAGTTGAACACCATAGAGCAAATTTTTGATACCTCCCATGAAGTATGGGACCCTAGTATTGATGAGAAGATTCCTGTTCCTTTTGAATTTGAGGAAGATCATTCTGGTCTAGACCCATATTCAATCAAGAATAGAGAAAGAACCTCCTCGGAGACTAGAATTTATTCTGATGATTCAGTTCATAAAGAAAATGATGATTGTGAGCCGGAACATGATGCTTTACAAGAAGCCTATGAAGAAGAACCTGCATCTGATCCACCTGTCCAGAAACCAAAAGGAAAAACTGCGAGAAAAGGAAAGTATAGCAAAAATTCTTTGAGATTGGATAAATTAATAAAATGCTGCATTCGTGGCTCAAGCGCTGTCCTAAAGGAATACTTTTCGCAACAACTAAAAACATTTAATGAGACTAAACACAAAGAGCTGTGGAATAACAGTTTTAAGCTAAGAAAGTGGATGGATGCATACATAATGGAACACTTCAAAGATGACCTCTTTGAAAATTTCGGAGTTAGACTGAGCCTAAAATAACAGGACAATGTTGTTTGCTGTGATAACTTATATTCTAAAGGGAAAGAGGTATTTCAAGGACTACATTTTCAAGAAAATCAAGACTAAGGAAAAGAAAGATATTATAAAAGAATCAGAGAAATTTTTCATGTTCTCTCAGGAAAATCATTCAACTGCAAAAGATAGAAACTTTGCTTTCAACTCCATTGTTATAAAGTTTGCCAAAATTTTATTGAAGAAAGAGCCGTCTCTAATAGACGTCTTTTGGGCAAAAATGATAGACAGAAAAGGAGTAACTTTCAAGGATATAGATCTGTTTCAACAGAAAATTAACACCCTTATGAATTTCTAAAAATTCTGCCAAAATCTGCAATATCTTCTAATTTCAGAGTACCATAAATCCAATACTATCCACCTCTCCTTCCTCTTACCACCCCTATCCCAAAACAAATCCCCTAAACCCCTCTAATCTCCCTTCCACCCCAATCCATCCTTCCCCCCCCAAATTCCCAATCCCACCTCCAAACCTCTCTCCCTTCCATCCCTCTCTCCCTTCCATCCCCCCTCCTCCTCCCCCTACCTCCTCCTGCCCTCCCCAAAATTCCCCTCCTTCTCTCTCACTGCTGACGTACCCCTATAAACAAATTGCAGCATTTCTTCGAAAATGGTAGTAATTTCAACCTCTCTTTTGTTCGGTGGGGTTTTGGGGTTTTGGGGTTTTGGGGTTTTGGGG